GGTCTAATTAGGATATGTATATATGTGTCTCCTGTGTGTGTGTTTCTGTCCTTCTGTGTGTACGCCTTCTCCCCAGTGTCTAATCTGGACGTGTACATATATTTGTGTGGGTGTTTCTGCTCTCCCCACATGTTGCGTCTGCATCTGTTGCATTTTCTCCCCCAAATTAAGCAGTGGGTGTGTATGTGTATTGTCTTTGTGTATTGTTTCTGCTTTCCTCTCTGCTTGTATGTGTGTGTGTGTTTGAGGGCTCTGGGAAGCCCAGGGTGAGCTGCATACGGAAAGCCTTCAGCACATGGCATCTGGAACTCCATCCATTCCCTTAATGGAAGCTCCGCCTTGAGCCGCATGACCAGGCGGAAGGAACCGGCTTGGAACGGAAAAGTCAACAACCTGCGAAGCCACTCCCCAACTGCATAGGTATGCATGGGGGGATTTTTCTGGATGGATTTTTCTCAACCACTGGCTTAATCTTGGTGAACGCCATCTTTCTTTTCCTAGCTTCTCACGCTCCACCAAATTTGAACCTGTTTTCAGAGTGTTCTCCTGATTATGGACAGAGAGGCAGAGACCTGCATCCCTTCACGTAATTCTTTTTCTGTTAGGTTGGGAAGAATGCAAAGAACAGCTTTCAATTTATCACCACATTCACAGTTTTGTACCCTACATTAGATTAAACATGAACTTGCTGAAATATAACTAGCAAGACATCAGTTCAGATCTCCTTTTAGTCATTAAAGCACATTGAGTCACTTTCTACTTCTCAGCCTCATGTATGTCTCCAGGGTGCTGTGAGAGCAGTAGTGGTGGAGGTGGTAGGAAAGAGGCAATCTGAGTTGTCTGGAGAAAAAGTAGGTTTGTTTATCAGTAACTTGAGTAGTTTATTTCAATGTGTTTTTAAAAATTCAAATTGAATTTCCATGTTCAGAACTGAATTTCAAGCATACAGGTAGACCTCACTTAATGATCATTCGTTTAGCGACTGTTCGAAATTATGATGGTACTGAAAAATGGATTCATGACCTGTGTCTAAAGTTATGTCTGTGTGATGGAATGGAATTATGAAGGCCAGGCTCAGGGAGAAAAACATTTTCTTAGCTCGCTGGAGGAGCGTGGGAGATACAAGAGGA